GGCTGGGGATTTGAACCCGCCACCTTAGGTGTACGTGGCTGGCGCCTTAGCCGGTTGAGCTATAGGCGCCGAGCCCAAAGGGCATTTTCAAATGTGGATTTCTCAGTCCCTGAGACTCCCGTTTTGGTTTCTCCCTCCTTTTTATGAGGAGAGACTTGAGCTCTGGACAGTGTTAGAGCCAGGCCATATCCTGCTGTGCAGAGCCTCTGCTCCAGGCAGAGGTTGGCACTCAGGCTTCTGTGTCCCATGTCAATGGCGTGAGGATGTAGGCACTGTGGCTGTGTCCCTGGGTGACCACAAATCCAGCAAGATCCTTTTTGTGGTTGAGGAGAGGGGGATGCAGGGTGCTCAGTCAGTGGAGCCTTTACCCCGCTGGCAGAGGAGTCCAGGGAAGTGGGAGTGGGGGTGGGGGCTATGCACCTAGCACTGCCCCTGGGGTCTAGGACACCCAGAATCCCACTCCTGGACTTGAGCACCTGAGGAATAGGCTCCTGAATGAACAAAGTGGAGTAAGTGTGTGTCCTGTTCTATGCTGAGACAAAGAGCTCCACAGCAGGGCCCTGCTCTGAGAGCCCACCTGCCTCCTGTTCCCTGTCCCTCCCACTCCCAAGCTGCCTTTTTGGACAGATCATAACCCTCTGATGTGTTACCCAGAGCTTTTTGGTGCATATTCTTCGTACTACTGTCTGTCAGGGATGGGGTGTGGGTGTGGGGGTACTGCTTGAATTTAAGTTTTGGGGCGCCAACTTTCTCAAATAGAAAACCAATGATTTGTTTTCTCTATTCACTTACATATGCTTAACGGGCTTTAAAGGTGTAAATGAAACCTAGGTCTTAACTAATTTGGTGGCTTTTAATTTTTGACTAGGAATAAATATATCCTGCTTCATCTTTTTCTTTTCTATAATCATATGGACCCCATAAAAGAAAACTTCTCACTTTATACAAATGGCATGTTCAATCTGCAGCAATTGGTTAGTAGTTTAGGGGACAGTAGAATGGAAGGGATTTTTGATAGCACTTTGGGGTGAGAACTATCTGCATGGAGTTGTAGCTAAGCAAAATCTAAGTGATTTTTAAAACAAATTCTTGCAATTTCCCTGTAAAATATACTGCTATATAAAATAACATGTTTATATGCAGTAATGCTTATTTAATTTTGTCCCCTCATTAAGTTAAGATACAGATACTCTTTTTAAGAAACCATTTTATCTGTGCTGTTTGAGATCTTTTATAATGGGTTCAGAGTCATTATGACTGTTCAGATTTCCGTCTGCACTGTAAACGCCTAAAATTTTATGTGTCTTTCTTGTAATACATGTAGAGTAGTAAGTTTTCCAAGTGGAGAAGTATTGTACTTCTAACATGATGTTTTGTTTTACAGAATTCAATTCGTCATAATCTGTCCCTACACAGCAAGTTCATTCGCGTGCAGAATGAAGGAACTGGAAAAAGTTCTTGGTGGATGCTCAATCCAGAGGGCGGCAAGAGTGGGAAATCCCCCAGGAGGAGGGCTGCATCGATGGACAACAACAGCAAATTTGCCAAGAGCCGAAGCCGGGCTGCCAAGAAAAAAGCATCCCTCCAGTCTGGCCAGGAGGGTGGCGGGGACAGCCCTGGATCTCAGTTTTCCAAGTGGCCTGCAAGCCCTGGTTCTCACAGCAATGATGACTTTGATAACTGGAGTACATTTCGCCCTCGAACTAGCTCAAATGCTAGTACTATTAGCGGGAGACTTTCCCCCATCATGACTGAACAGGATGATCTTGGAGATGGGGATGTGCATTCGATGGTGTACCCACCCTCTGCCTCAAAGATGGCCTCCACTCTGCCCAGTCTGTCTGAGATAAGCAATCCTGAAAACATGGAAAACCTTTTGGATAATCTCAACCTTCTGTCATCACCAACATCGCTAACTGTTTCAACCCAGTCTTCACCTGGCACTATGATGCAGCAGACACCTTGCTACTCATTTGCACCGCCAAACACCAGTCTGAATTCACCCAGCCCAAACTACCAGAAATATACATATGGCCAATCCAGCATGAGCCCTTTGCCCCAGATGCCTATGCAAACACTTCAGGACAACAAATCCAGTTATGGAGGTATGACTCAGTATAACTGTGCACCAGGGCTGTTAAAAGAGTTGCTTACTTCTGACTCTCCTCCCCACAATGACATTATGGCTTCAGTTGATGCTGGGGTAGCCCAAACCAGCAGCCGGGTTCTGGGCCAGAATGTGATGATGGGCCCTAATTCGGTCATGTCAACCTATGGCAGTCAGGCATCTCATAACAAAATGATGACTTCCAGCTCCCACACCCATCCTGGACATGCTCAGCAAACATCTGCAGTTAATGGGCGTGCTCTGCCCCATGCAGTGAACACCATGCCTCACACCTCGGGTATGAACCGTCTGACCCCAGTGAAGACATCTTTACAAGTGCCTCTGCCCCACCCCATGCAGATGAATGCCCTGGGGGGCTATTCCTCAGTGAGCAGCTGCAATGGCTATGGCAGGATGGGCGTTCTCCATCAGGAGAAGCTCCCGAGTGACTTGGACGGCATGTTCATTGAGCGCTTGGACTGTGACATGGAATCCATCATCCGGAATGACCTCATGGATGGAGACACGTTGGATTTTAACTTTGACAATGTGTTGCCCAACCAAAGCTTCCCACACAGCGTCAAGACGACGACACATAGCTGGGTGTCAGGCTAAGAGTTAGTGAGCAGGTAAGTTCACCCCAATATCAAAAGACCTTTTGAAAGATAGAGCTTAAAAGAGAGGAGTGCTGTCACCTGCCAGGTGCCTTCCCCCGGCCAGGACTTTGATGTCAGCTGACTGCCCCTTGCAGAGACGCATCTTTATCATTCGTTCTCTGTGCTTTTTGCAGCTTATCAATTTTTCTTTTGAGCTTAAGCCTAGGAAGCTTCCTTTAACTGCTTTAAAGATTTCTTTTTGACAGTTAGATGGCTGCCTCTTTTTAGTAGCTCTTTAATAAATGAATATATTTGATACAAATCAAATGCTGAAGGGTTTTTTGTAAAGTGGAATTTTCCCCCCACAGACGATTTTAGAGCTCGTTGAGAAAGCTCGAACTTTTTGCCCCTAGTATGTCTGTCACTGAATGTAAGTTGAACTGATTTTAATTTAGTTGTGTTTTCATTGTGTATATGTGTTGTATGTGTTTTTTTTTTCCTCCCCAGGCTACACTTAAAAGTCCTTCAGATTGTCTGCCGGCAGGAACTGAGAGAAGCAGTCCAAAGATGTCCTTAAGATGTCCTTCACCAACCCCTTTAGTTTTCTTGATTTAAAAACAACAACAATAACAACAACAAAAAACCTTCCTCTTTTTCCTTTCGTCAGACTTGGCAGCAAAGACGTTTTTCCTGAACAGGATGTTTGCCCGAGGTTTGCAGGTTATGTGCTGCTGTAGATAAGGACTGTGCCATTGGAAATTTCATTACAATGAAGTGCCAAACTCACTACACCATATAATTGCAGAAAAGACTTTCGGATCCTGGTGTGCTTTTGAGTTTTGTATATATAAGCAGTAGATACAGAATTGTATGTGTGTGTGTTTTTGTTTTCTTTTTTTTTTTTAATATCCATTTGGTCCAAGACAGTTTATACTCCTTTTTGTAATACTGTGATGGTCTCATGTCTTGATAACTTAAACTTTTGTTTGTACTACCTGTGTTCTGCTGAGCTGATGGATCACACAGAACTGAGATCTCTGTTCTGCGCCTCCACTGAACAGCTCTGGGCCTGTTCACATTGCCACAGAATTCACATGAGAACCAAGTAGCCTGTTACCAATCTGCTGAATTAACGGACTTGTCAAACTTTTGGAAGAAACAAGAAAATAAATTAAATGCCAGCCTTGTACAGGTCTTTTCTATATATTTTTTTTTATTTTGTTATTTGCAGATTTGTACAAACATTTAAATGGTTCTAATTTCCAGATAAATGATTTTTGATGTTATTGTTGGGACTTGAGATCATTTTTGGAATAGATACTGAACTGTAATGTTTTTTCCTAAAAACTAGAGTCTACTTGTTACATAGTCTGCTTGTAAATTTGTGGAATCACAGGTATTTGGGACAACATTCATAATTTTCATTTTGTATTTCTAACTGGATTAGTACTAATTTTATACATGCTTAACCGTAACTGGTTTGTACACTTCGGGATGCTAATTGGTGATGTTTCTGACTAATCTTAAATCATTGTAATGAGTACTTGGATATTCAACATTTTGGGCCCTATTTGGCCAGAAAAGTGATGTATAGTTTTGGACACTTTGTGTTTCCTATTTAGGAGAACTTAGTATGTTCTCATGTGTGTATTTTAAAGAAATTTCATCTGCTTCTGGTGAACCGTGCACATCACACAGTGTCAGGCCTTCTGGTGGGTGCCTGTGTGCTGCGTTGCTAGTTACTCCTGGGAGGCCTCATAATGTTTGTAGTCAGAAAGGGAGTGATGCCTCTAGAATGATGCTGCTTGTCAGACTGTGGGTCTTCATCAGCCTCTCTTTGAATTTAGTTTCTGCAAAACTTTCCCCTCACAATCCTGTGCTCTGACTTGATCGGGGAAGTCCGGCTTTGTGGCTGTGCCCTGAGCAGTGCTGCTGGCCCTCTTCGTCCCTCTGCCTGCAGGTTACTCAGGACACTGTGGAAGTTTTAAGTTGAAGGAGGGAATTTAAAAAATGGGACTTGAGTGATGCGTAGAATGCTTTGTGTTTATAAGTACAGATGACCCCAAAATGGAATAAAGCTTGTTTAAAAATTGGGGCAATTAATTGAAAACCAGCAAGCCAGCTGTAAGTTGTGCATTTGAATTGATTTTAAAAGCCTTGGCTTAAGTTAAGAATTTGAAAATTTCTTCGGCCTTGTAGAAACCTAAAATAAAATTCTAATCATATTTTAATAATTTCTAATTACCTGTAACTGACAGACCAAGTTAATTGGCTTTGGGTCCTACTCAATCTGTCAGTATTTTTAAGTCATGTGGAAAGCCCAAAGTCATCAGAATAAAGGGAAGAGATACACACCGGTGTTCCTCTTGCCTTCTTGAGAAGGGTCTGATTTCTGTGTACACAGCCCAGATCATACTGGTTTTGTCTTGTGTGCCAATTGCATTTCCATTGGCTTGGTTTTCCCTACGTGTATGACAAGAAGATGAGTGTTCCTGACAGACTTCCTGTAGGAGGCCAGTACTATTATAAGCTTCCAAGTGTGACTCTTTAAAAATAAATTTGTTGTGCAGGCTCAGTGCCCCTAGCACAGTGGTTATGGCGCCAGACACATATACCGAGGGTGGTTGGTTCGAACCTGGCCCCAGCCAACTAAACTACTACAACAACAACCTCCCCCCACCCCCTCCAAATAGCCGGGTCGTGTCGGGTGCCTGTAGTCCCAGCTACTTGGTAGGCTGAGGCAAGAGAATCACTTAAGCCCAAGAGTTTGAGGTTGCTGTGATGCCACAGCACTCTACTGAGGACAACATAGTGAGACTCTATCTCAAAAATAAATAAAATAAATTTTGTTGTACAGCCGGTGCCCACCATCTTCATTGTAGGGCACACCAAGATATGGTTGGGTTTTGAAACTTTAGCCCCTTGAAGCAGCACCTCCTGTGTGGAATGGAATTTTTTGTGCCAGAGTACTCACGTTCTCAGTTCTCGTTACTGTGGACTTTTCTTTTGTATGGTTATTGCACTGTTACACAAGAGCCTCAGAGCCCCACATTTGTTCATTAGAGAAGCAGCTGCAGCTGAAATAACTATTAAAATCTCAACCCTTCATAGAGTGGTGCATTTTCCTCCTGAGTCTCTGTAACCCCCTCCCCCTCAATTTTTCTTTGCTTTGAAATCTTAACATGAATCCTGCCTCTCCTGGTACACTGAAGTCCAAAGAAAGGCATCTTGTCTGTCTGGAAAGCAAACATTATTTGGCCTCTGGTAGCTCTTTTCTATAAGAATACTGACTTTCTGGAGTAATGAGTATATCAGTTACTGTACATGATTGCTTTGTGAAATGTGCAAATGATTATCACCTATGCAGCCTTGTTTGATTTATTCCCTTTGGTTTGTACTGTTATTAAAAGCATATTGTATTATAGAGCTATTCAGATATTTTAAATATAAAGATGTATTGTTTCCGTAATATAGATGTATGGAATCTATTTAGGTAATAGATACATTACTTGGAAAGTTCTGCTTGACAAACTGACAAAGTCTAAATTAATGCGCACATGTTGTATCCTGGTGTAAGCAGTAAATTAATGGAATATCCCAAGATGATAAAGACACTTAGAATGGAAACAGTTCTCCAAAGACACACAGTTTAGACTTGTTTAACTGCTGGATATATACTGACAGTAACCCCCACTCGGCCCCAAACTTAATATTCTTACATCTGCCTCTTAAGAGTTCTTTCTTTATACCTGATTTTAAATTGGAAGTTTAAATGAGTGGTTTTAGTTTGGGAGTAATCTTCTAGTAAAAAATGCAGTATGGTTTCTACAAACCAAACAGCCTGACATTTCAATGGGCCCCTCCTTGAGGCAGGGCACAGCCTGGCGGAATGGCCACGAAAATCCCATCAGGATGTAGTCGTACCCTCCCACCTCTCACTACCTGAGTTTAGTAGCAGCGCAGGACCCGTGTTCCTGTTCTGAGACTCTGAGAAGTGCCTGATGATGCTGATGTACTTACACACACAAGAACAATCTTTGCTATAATTGTATAAAGCCATAAATGTACATAAATTATGTTTAAATGGTCTGGAGTCTGTGTTTTCTAATTGTATAGAATAAGTTCTTTATTAGGAATGTTTTTTAATGTACAGCTATCAAGTACTTGAGTGTAAATGTTAGCAGCCATAATGTCATGGTTTATTCAGGGCTGGTATTTCCTTTGGAGGAAAGGGGAACAGTCAGTCTGGGACCAAACCATAGCCCCTTGAGATAAAGAACAAGCACAATCCCTGGTCACAACTCCAGAGTTACTTCATCTTTGGAAAGTCTAAAAGTACATCTGGGCCAATAAATCACTAGGCATTTTAAATCTCACGTTAGAACAGACTGTGCTGAAGGTAAAAACACCTGAGGACAAGTTAGGGTCTGACTGCCAGGTCACAGAGCAGACACTGGATGGTGTGGCTTTCTGGGACCGAATGGGCTCCAGCCCCTCCTGCCCACTTTGCTGAGGGAGGAGTTCCAGCCCTCCTTTAAGTTGTTGCAGATCAGAAATTTATGTTTGCATTTTTTTTTTTCAGAAGATGCCTGAGGAATGAGCTAAGATTAGATTGACATGGTTAAAATGCATTTTTAAAGCAGTATGAAGTCCAGTCTCTTCTTGCTTCTGACCAGGCAGGTAAATGAATGAATTGGAGTATCAAAGAAGTAGGTTATTCTAATGGTTATTGGTTTACACACCAGAAGGGTCCCTTGAGCTTTCCCAGTTGTAGTTTTATTTCTCCCCCCTTTTCAGTGGTGGAAGCCTTTTAAAAAAATGTGTGGTAGTCAGAAGGCCAGCGTGTAGATCCGATAAAAGCATCTACTCCCAGGCCCTAGCTCGTGCGTCCATCCATTTGAAAACTGCTGATGTAGTCCAAATGCAGAAAGATGCTCCAGTCATCCCGCCAGCTGGCGTTTCACAGCCTTCTGTGCATACACTCAAACTCGTGCCTCTAATGTCATCGCTTGAGATCAGTGTCCAAGTTTTACATGACTTGGGAAGAACTCATGGATTTATCCCTTACGGGGAGAGACTGACTTCGCTGGACAGTATCTGGGCCCCTGCTGTGACCAGAGGTGACAGAAGAATCCAGATGTGTACCTAGGATTGTTTCTTGACCTGTGAGCCAGACACATCAGAGGACTTGGCCTTGGCTATTGTTTCACCATGTTTGGGGTGACCTGTAACAATGATGGTACTAGTTAAACTTACACTGTTGGTGTGGTTAGATTAGGAAGGTGGAGGGCTGTTCAGGAGATGTCCCGTGCTAAGTGGCAGTTGTGGAAGTTGATAGCATCACACGCACAGTGGTCCTGGCACCAAAGTATGTGCTAGTGCTCAGTGAGCTTGCGTGGCCTCTAAAATGAAGGTGTACTCATGGTAGGTTTATTTATTGTAATTTATTATTTGGGTGTAAAAATTGCTCTGTTGATAACTTCATGGACTATGAGGTGTTTGGGGTTTAAGTAACTGGGAAAACATGTAGTTTTGGGAGAGTGGAAAGGGAGGTAGTTGTGTGCCAGGATTGAGGCGGGAGACGGGCAGGTGGTCCTGGGAGGTGGGGGTGACACAGCAGGAAGCAAGATGTGAAGCGGAGCTGTGGGCCTTGGAAAAAGCTGCAGGCTGTTACTGAGCGTTTAGAAGTTAAAGAGAGCTCTAATTTTTGAAGCTAACTGGGAGAAGGGGGCTTTTGTGCACTGTGGCAATTTGGCTGTGAGAGGAGGAAGCTCTATACAGAGGCATCCACTAGTTATAAGAGGACGGGGAAAAGACTGAGGCCAACTTTTCTTAGCTTCACTGAGGACACTTCCCATCCGCAAGTATTTTCCATGAACTCCAAGACTAAAGGGAGTTTTGTCATGTTCACATCTATCCAAAGTGAAAGTCTTCTTTGCTTGGAAGGCACTGGTGGAAAGTAAGAGGTGTCATCCTTCAGGAGGAGGGCAACTGGGTGATGACTTGTTGATCATTCCCTGCACATTACATCCACGAGCTCCAGCCCCAGACATGCAGCTTACAGAATTTCTACATAATTTGAACATTGCAGATGGTAACATAGGGACCAGGCTGGATTCTTGTAGTTACTGGAGTTAACTGCAAACATTACCTGAGTTGTTAGTGAAAGTGCTGCCCAAGTTGACCTTA